TAAAAGATATAAGGTACCATTCAACAGGGACCACGCGTGCAACGCCGAGCCATGCCATCCAATCAACTTGAATCCATTCAACTCGTTGTTCCCGCCTTTCTCATCGTCGGGATTTTCTCCGCGTTAAATTTTGAACATCTAATTTCTCAAGTGTTACCCGTTCAGCTTTGAGGATCGCGTGATTAGGCCCAATGTCACTACAAACGTTAGACATCACGTTGCTGATTGTCATGATAAGACGAGTAAATGTAGAGAATGATGTGACTTATCATTATAAAAGAAAAGATAAATGTATTAATGTCGATGTAGACCATAATTCTACAAAACCACCAAGCAGCGTCAATCGCCTCAGAATGATAAGTGTCACGAAACTGTATTCCAGGGTTTCTTGTCAACTATGACTAAACACTACCTTTTATCTGTTCATTAATATATCTAGGTTTGAATGCCTATGTATTCACCCCTCCTGTGAGGTAAAGTTTTGCTTTTAAACACTCAGGTTTTGTACTGTTTATTATAACTCCGAATGGTATAAGCTATAGACAAGTCTTCATAAAACACCTAATTTCACTACCGCAGCTCAATAGCTCAGGGAGATTTGAGATCTACAATGCAGCCACCAATTTTTATAGTCAAATGTATTTGTTCAATTGAACGATGTCCTACAGGATAATTAATTTGCGTAGAACATACTGCTTCACTGGTATACCTAAGCACAAACTAGGAAGTGAAGTTGGCTTAAACTAGACTAAAGTTGTTTATGTAGCCTGCTGGATTGTTATTCTATTTTTGAAACATTGGTTATCGATAAAAAGTAAACAACCTAAGAAGTCGAAAGTAAATAATGTCATGAATGTGATGATTTTAAATTAATTGTGTTTTACTCTCTGTATACAAATAAAAACTTTGTCTTTATTCAAATAACAGTCATCGTTAGCTTAGACTGGTCAAAATCGATAGAGATTTGCTTTTGCGTTGGTTACGAAGTGAAATATCAAATTTCCAGTCAATGGATAAGAAAAAACATAAAGCAACGCATCTGTACAACCAAAGGTGTACACAATTCACGCTAATGAATATAATCTCTTTTTCGATAAATCCAAAACACGAGTTCAGACCGTTGTTTATTGGCTGCTGAGTGTGTACCTAAGAAGGCACGAACTTAGACAGTGAATAACCGCTCAGCATTACTTTGTCATCCGTCAATGAATATACGAGATATAATTCACACTGAGCAATTCAGGATACACTTCGGTAGCACACGCGCTTTCCAGAAAAAATATGTGCATCCACTCTCAGTTAGTTTGTAGACCTAAAAATTCCCTCATGTGGGAAACAGTGATAGTAATTTGGGGAACTTAATCAAGAGTGGTTAAAAATTCATTGGATTTCAGTGGTATTGCGGGTAAGTATTCAGAGCACACTTTTTGAACAGAAAGTTTAGTCCTAACGTGGTTTGCATGTCTCAAACTTTTGCTGTGTTCTTACGCAACAAAAGTACCATTTCTGATGTAAAGAATCTGTTCTGAGCTATACGTTTGGTAGACTACTTTTTTTGAGTTTTACTCAATTGAATAGGTAACTGTGGTTTTGCCTCAGCTTACTATTCGGTTTCTTTCAGTTTTTCACGTAAAGGCTAGTTCAGTTTATCTCATCCGTGTTTATCCATTTTGCCCGTTTTTAGTGTACTTTTTAGTGTATTTTTAACGGTCTTAGGATTTCGCTAGCATCTATAATACAGTTTACGTCAATATAGTCATGAAAAATTCATGCAAACGACCTGGATGCCGTTTTGCTGTTACATCTGGCATGCAAAGGTTGCTTCCATGAAGCGTGCACAGATCTCACGGCAACTGCTTACAACAGACTCAGCAAGTCGGATCTTAAGTGGGTATGTGTTACGTGCAGCACGGATGCTGTAGTATTGCTGAGTAACATCATTATCCTATTGACAGGTCTGCTGGACAATTTGTCAGCAAACTTGGAAAAAGACAGTCATAAAACAGGTAGACAAACAAGGGCACATAACGAAAACAAGAATAGGGATGCTGACAGGTCTACCATCGGTGACGCATTCATTAGCTCTAATGATGACATGTTGAAACTCAGCACCATCATTACGTCGACGGTGATAGACTCCCTCAGTAGACTCGGGTCTCCCAGCTCAGGGTGTTTAAACGCAACAGTGGTTCCCGAAAACTCTGCAGGTGATTGGACCCACGTTAACAGAGCTAAAAAGGATCAGGCGTCACCATCTAAGCTGAACATCCCAAGTGTTGTACGGAAACCAACTGGTGATTTGATCGCACAGTCTACCACCAAGAATGTCCGCCCCGTCATCAAAAAGCCTAGGATTCAGAAACGTGCTTCGACCTCCAAACAACAAGGTGTTCAACCTGAACGCACCGAAAAACCTGGGAAAACAATAACGGCTCGTGATGATTCTCATAATCATGAACCTCAAAGACAACCCTGACCTTCCTCCCAGTTTGCAGGACAAAAAATGACAGGATACTCTGAGGTGAATTGAATGAGAAGCTTGAACTTCCTGGAATAGAGCCTTTGACGGTCACACGGCTCACTCGGGGAAAGGAATCTGAGCATCGAAATCACCCGAGTCTACTTCGTGTAACACTTAGGAATTCTACCGAATTAGAGAATGTCCTGCTAGCTAGTCATTTACTCAAATCCGATGGGAACATAAGAACACTGCCTGAAATACCGTATTCTGAGCGCAATCTCATCCGGAACATCTCTAGAGAATCTTGATTGAATTTTTTTCCGCGGAAGAAATATCATTGTGCAAGGTATTTCGGAAAACACGGACCCTAGTTAAGCAAACTCTGACATTCGGGAATTGAAATTCATCAAGCAGTTCTTGAAGTTCAAAAACATACTGACTCAACATGTGACGAGACTAGCCAAGAAAGACAAGTTGGAGCTGACCATTCCACTTGTGGATTGTCTTGAAGATAAAAAAACGTGTTAATGACAAGGCCTACCAATCGAGAAAACCTTATATAGGGAGGCCACCTGTACACTCACGTAAGGCTCATACAAACAAACAGGAAGGAGCTCAAGCGTTTCAAATTGAAAGCATAAACTGCTTATACATGAACGCCACGAGTCTACCAAATAAAATGTATGAGCTACGTGAACTTGGCAATGTTAAAATGGTTCATCTGATAGGAATATCTGAAACTTGGATATCTCCTCAGTTTTCGGACCAGGAGCTAGCAATACCTGGGATGTCTCTGTTTCGCAATGACAGAAAAACAGGAATTGGGGGTGGAGTAGCCCTATACATACGATCTGGCTTGGAGGCACACCAAGTTCACAACCATGAGCTTAACAATCTTGAGGAATCCATATGGTGCTCTGTGAGATTGTCCACTACTTCGAGATGCCTAGTCGGAGTCATATATAAGAAGCCCACTGCTGACATCGAGTATGACAGTCGTATGCTGGAAGGACTATCCCGCTCCACGCGTCTCGAATTCACTCATATCCTGATTCTAGACGACTTCAACCTCCCTAGAGTCAACTTTGTGGAACATACGTACATTAGAGGTGAAAATTCAATTGAAGCTCGGTTCTTCAACCTCATTGAGGATTTGGGATTATACGAAAATGTGAAGTCGGCAACTCGTTGGGGGAACAGTCAGACACCGTCGCGCTTAGACTGTATTTACAAACGGAGAATTTCTAGTTGACAACCTCTCAATTATGGCTCCCCTGGGGAAAAGCGACCACGCCGTTATAGCCTTCAGTCTTGTCAGCAAAACTGAGCTAAGATATCCCAACAACAACAACAACAACAACAACAACAGGCGCTTGAATTTCAAACGGTTGAATGTGTCAGCTCTACAGGACTATCTAAAACAGGTGGATTGGGATGTTACTCTCAACTTGATGTGGATGCTCACTGGGGCTTCTTGCTGCACACTCTCTTATATACTACAAAGCAGTCAGTTCCTCAAACGGTCCCCAAAAGCCACACGCAACCTACAATCATCAAGAACCGCACTCTTCGTTTGCTAAGCTGCAAAAGGCACTATTGGGCAGAATACAAGCGAACTGACAACAACAGCGAGTACAGGCAATACAAACATATAAGGAACATATGCACGAAGGCTATAAGAGAAGACAGGCCTCAGTACCAGATAAAGCTTATGGATAAATATGTCTCCAATCAGAAAAACTTATTGCGTTACGCAGCCTCAATCCGTCAAGTCAAAACTGGAGTTTACCAACTGCTAGGTCCTAACGGCCCGACCGATAACGACGGCGACGCCGCCAAACTTTTGACTGAGCAATACTCCGGACATTTCAATCGACCCACATCAACTATACTGATGACAGCTTCATCTACAACTGTATAGGACTTTCCATAGTGAACCCGAGCGCTGAATTGGTGTTCCAGAAACTTCAGCATCTAAGAAAAGTCATTACTCCTGACCCATATATGGTTCATTCTGCTGTACTGAGGGAAGCAGCCTCAATCCTGGAAACACCGCTTAGCGTAATGTTCTCACACTTTCTAAGTCGAGGCAAACTGCCGGAAAATTTGAAGCCGGCTCACATCACACCAAGTTTCAAAGGAGTTCGACGCAACGAACCTTCAAGTCAACGACCGGTTGCTCTTTTCTCCATACCTCCACAACCATTTGAACCAATTAGATGCTACTCCGCTCCCTCCTTTATTAGTAATAAAAGCTTCGTTATTTTGGGTTCTTGATAAACCAGAAAAGAATATCGTCTTCCGACAGCCAAGAACTCGCATTATAACTCAGATGGAGATCCAAGGAAACTAACAGTCTTTTTCTTCAACATGATAAAGTTTGATGTATGAAAACCTATATTTACACTTGAAATTGAGAGAATCTATGGGATAAGTAACCTTCATATGAATTTTTCACTGAATACTTTGAAAAAGTTTTCATAAGCTTTTGACGTAACCTGCGGCAATGATTTGTTTTAAATGCTCAATAATTAATTGTACTCATTCGGCGTTACTTTGAGCCACGGTTGTCTTTTGTTAGACCATCTGAAAAACATTTGTCCATAATGATTTATCTTCCTTCATCGCATACCGTATAATTTCTATGAGATGAATAAAAATTATCCTCGTGAAATACACATTCAAAATGGGAAAACTATAAACAATCGAAGTGCTTTGAGTAATGGCAAGGATGAAAATAAAAAGTTAGAACGAAATGTAACTATCCACTGGTGCGAATCTGAAATGTCTTATCATGAGCTATCCCGTGAATATACTGGAGTCGATATACGTAATAACGAATTGCAAAATAATAGTTATCTTGCTGCCCCTGGCGGTCAATTAAGACCCGCAATCTCTGAAGTAGAAGGGTTAGACAGATACGCTAAACAATGCTTAGAAGAGAGGTCTGTAACACCATCTGAAAGAAACGGCCACATGAATGTGAGCTCATTACCTTGATATGAAATTAACAACTAAGTTTATATTCATTACTATCATATTATTCACTATTAAGATTCTAACATTCTTATTCTTCTGTGATCTATGACCTTATTATGATGGAATATTTAGTCATTATATCGGAATTTAGTAATCTCTGATTCCTACTTTTAGACTGAAAATACATTTCCCGATTATCATCGTGTAGGACACGGTAACACAAATTCTTATTTATGAAAATATGTTCGTTATTAATATTAATACAATGCCTATATTCAAGACAAATCTTGATATTAATGCATTATGGTTTTCAGCGATTGCAACTCAAAACTATTCCACAATCCAGCTATATGGTCGAAATGAAGGATTTTTGGCAAAAAGGAGAAACTTGACAGTTGAGATGTGTAATCTGTAAATAACAAATAATAGGGGCGTGTGCTTTAGTTGCATCGTTTACCATATTATTGGAAATTCTGTAGTTTGGATTATATGAAACACTGTAGTAATCGTTGTTCATACTTTAAGGGATCGTCATAAAAGGTAGTCTTGGATCGAAAGGAAGAGGTTTCATGATCATAGTTTATGCCGAATAATATCCTTTAGTTCAGCACGTAAGACTTTGACAAAATGGGAGTGCTGACTTTGCACAATGGATTCACTTTGATAAAAGTTTAATGCGTTTTTATTTAAGTCAGTGCTTCACTGGTAACTAACTGCAGTCCGCTGTTCTTGATGAAAAACAGGAAAATAATCTGGAAAGTTCAAAATTATTGTGAACAATTAACTAAATAAGACATGAATTTATAATGGTTGAACTATACTTTGTTATTTGCACTGACATTCAGCAACCTTGTCATACTGTTGGAGACGATGCATATTTAATCTCCTATGATTAGGAGTATTCGACAATTATCTATATTTGTATTTTGTCCAAATCGTATACAAATCAATTGGTTTAAGCTTGGCGGTTCCGCATTGCTTCTCTATCAGGAAACATGGTGCGTTTGTATATGTGTCATTAATTGTGATCTTCTGAATAGTTCGAAGTAATGAAATATTTATACTTGTTTATTTTATGTCTCTACAACAATTAGAGACACTTTGACTCTAAATTATCTAATAATTGATGTAAGGTAAAATACAAAAACACTATTTCAATTCCTTTTCCTCAGGGTCATTCAACCAAATCGGATGCTAATCACGTTTCTACAGAATCGTTTTCTTCATTTAAAAGGCATCCTATTCATAAAAATGATCAAAAAAATGTACAAAAGCAACCAGAGAGCCTGACAGTTTTTGAGAAATTATGTCAAAAGTTTTCTAAAGATGCAACTTATAAGAATGAAATACGTGCTGGAAAACGATTAGGATTTTATCGATTTGTTCTGGATATTGGAAGAGGGAACTTTTCAAAAGTCAAGCTGGCACTTCATAGTTTAGTCAATAGTAAGTTTGGTTGTTTTGAAAAAATGAATACAGTTTTTTTCATTGTCTTGGTGTGCAGGTGTTAAAAAATAGTTACCTGCTGTTCAAAAACAAATCAACTTTAGCCATTTCAGATATAAATATGTGGTAATCAGTTATATACTCATGTCCACGAATCATTATATATAACGATAATAAACCTAAAGACGAAAGACACCACTGGATCACGACTAAAACAACATTCAAGTTAGATTTTATTAATTTTTCGATAACTTCAGAAATCATATAACACGTGCAGTCACGAGTAATGACTAGATCAAAGAAATAAGCCAGTGGATTCCAGTTATATGTATTAAACTATGTGAACGTATTTTTGCTAATACCACCGAGACAATACCTACATGTTGATAATTTGGTTTTGAAATGGTTGTAAACTGAAGCACAGTCAGTGTTAAATGATGCTTTGCAACAATGACATTATACATAACAAACATGACTGTTATTCTAGTGCTCTAAATAATAAGGTATCGTAAGTTATTCATATTCGATGAAGTTTATGATATTTCATATTTAAAGCTGACAAAAACAGTCAGTATTCAGAATCTTTAAGTTATTTTTGTGTAATGGCATCAGACAAACAGTTTAAAGCTCAAAAATGGCAATAATGAAAGCCTCCAATAAGTTTCTTTGGTGTGTTGGTGCCGATGACCGAAAACAATGGACCTTCAGTACCGTAGATAACAGTTTCCCATTAATAAAAAAGCGCCTCTTATTTTTTACTTTAAAAATAGGTAGTTGGCCACTCTTGCATTCACCAGTAATGATATTTTAAATGATAACCCTACTAATCAAATATTAAAAACTATCTTCAATGTAACCTACTTACTGACTTACGCCTGTTGCCCCTCATGGAGAAGCATGGGCTGCTCACATAAAATATCTATCCAATTCTACCCAAAGCAAACCTTTCCAGTTGATATTGATCTTTTTCATGTCTTCTTTCGATTCGCAAAGCAGTGTTCTTTGGTCTTCTTTTTTTCCGTTTCTCTTCAGGATCCCAAGCTAGCACCAGCCTTACTATGCAGTCTGATGATTTCCACAATGTATGTCCTATCCACCTCCATCGCCTTTTCCTAATTTTCTCCTCAGTAGAAAGAGAAAACTGAAGACTGTGACTTTGATATTAGCTGACAGTTGTTTTGAGTTCTATATGTTCTTCGACTGTAGAAATTCTGCCCTTGTTTTTCTAATCCTTGACTTTACATCTGCACCAGATCCTCCTTGTTTATAGACAAGGCTGTCCGGATATGTAAAAGTTTCTACCTCTTGCAGAAGTTCTCCACCACGTGTTAATGAATTGATGTTCTCTGTGTTGTGTTTGAGGATGTTGTTTTTTCCCTGTGTATGTTGAGGCCCATCGATATAGAGGCTTCTGCTACACTAGTTGTCTTGACCTGCATTTGCTTGTGTGTGTGGGATAAAACGGCTGAGTCGTCTGGTTGCATAAAAGCTTTTCAGTGTGTTCCTTACTTTCCATTAAATATGTAGGTCTTCCTAAATCTTCAATGTAACGCTCCATTTAATTTTCAACACCTATACCATAGCTTAGCCTGAAGTTAGGATGTCTATCAAAGTAGCTATTGATTGCTACAATATATTGATAAAATTGTAGGTATAAATAATTTTAATACTGGTAAAACATTGTCATAAACTTCTGATTGTACTTTTCTGATAAACATTGTTCAGAATAAGATAGGCTATTGGGATTTGAAGCACCATTTAATTCTTCTTCCCTATAATCTTTATGAATAATACAGATAAATAAACATACATCTCGAGTTGTTTGTTTTTTCCTGCTGATGAACCTCGTGAATTAGAAAATCATCTATTTATGAGAATCAAAACAGTATGATTTAGTAGAGCAACAAAGTTAATTTAGCCTTATAGATATGGATAAGAAGATGCATAACAACTCAGTAAAGCACTTGATGAGCAGAAGTGCTTAATGGTAAAAACGTTTACCAGTTAGTTATGGTATGCGTTATTTTGTTAAATCCAAAGTTAATCTCAGTTAAGCGTACTTTTATACTTGATAATCGTTTTCTCTAAGTTTCCACTGAGCTTCATATTATGGTCAAAACTTGTTTATTGTATAAGCTGACTACACTCAGAGATATTCCAGTGTTGGGACCTTTTCTTTATTTAACAAAACCGGTTCACTAATATGTATGATGACTATCGGTAGCAAATATACTTTTGTATAAGTGGCCATTTATCTTTTTCTAAACCTAATTTCAGATGTAAATATATTTTGATTTATGATTTGTGTTTGAGAAAACCATCCGAACGATGTTCAAAAGTTACAAAAATCCAATTTGATAATATTTATCAATATGTCACACACTGAATCATGTAATTAAATATTAGGTGATCGATTTATTTTTACCTAAAGCGTTACTAGTAGTATGCATTATCTAAAATCAGGCATTAGCTAACATATTTTTGAAAGCATGACTGAACTATTAAAGGAAATATTGAATCATTACTTCTAATTGACACTCAGATTCAATGAAATAATTGTTTCAGTGTCCATGAAACGTAATACATGATGCTTTTCTGTTTCTTTGTATGTGAACTATACAGGTCACTGACAAAGTAAACTTCCTTTTTGTTATAACTTGTGAGCCGAGTGCCCTGTTAATGGATAAGTAATGATACCGCCAATTAGGAAACAGTGGCTTATCAATCGGATCAAACTCGTATGAGCAGTCTAGAGTCCTGATTGTTCCTGCTTTCTGCCTAAACCAGCCAGTTAAGACCAGAACACCAATCTCAGCCTCTTCAATATTAATAGTTTAGCTAATTAACAATTATAAGATAAAAATATACGTATAGTATTGGTCCGCAAACGGATCCCGAAAATTGCCATTCACTATGCTTATCGGGACCTAACACTTTTAGATATTTCGTAGATTTATTTTTGCAAATGGTTAGTCATGAAAATAATAACACTTCAATAGGTTATTACTTAAAAATAAATCCCGCTTCACGCGAAAAGTTATCTACAAGCAAGTAAACCACCGTTAATCTCTATTAATGAAATAAATTTTGTTCGAAGGTGGCTCCATTTTCATGTTAGTAGTTGTGAGAAATATAAATGGAAGGACTTTGATGAGCTCAAAGTTACATAGTGAGATTAGTGACGAACATGGAAAAATATCGACACTGATCGAAATCAATACACTTGGTCAGTCGCAAACCCTCACAAAAACACGTATTGTACAGTAATGAACTGTAGATCAGAGTTGAGGCGGCTTAGGAAGTTATTCTCATAAGATGACTGTTAGTCTCTAGAAAAAGTGATACACATCTGGCCGTTTTTCTTTGTGAATGTCAGACTAGCAGTAAAACAACAAGGATAGGGTCGTATCACTGCAAAAAGTGTGTTTTACAAGGTTAACAATAACTACAGATTGTAGCTAACAACTGACCTTCATAAAATATGAATGTCAGCTAGAAACTAAAAATATTTATTATAAGTGCGAGAGAGCGATTTTCTAAGTAAGGTAGATTAAGTTCACTGCTACTTAAAACATCATTAGGAAAATTAATTGCATCCCGGTTAAGTTACTTGAGAAGTTATGTAATAAACTTAACATTGTTCGACTACTGCGATAGAAATCAATCCAACAATAACGTTTAAGTATGCGATTGAAATGTTATAATTTGTATGGTGGTGTACATTAAACTAAACATATCAGGGTTAAATAAATTTCCGTCTCTACATCAGTGATATAGATGGATCAACCCATAGTGATGATTAATGAAATTATTGTCAATTTTATTAATCGTTTTGTATGAATTTATGGAATACTACAAAAAAGCATCAATAATCTCAATTAAACCAAACAATCACTCATTCTTGGAATTCATTTATTGTATGATGAGCGTATATGTAATTTAAAGTTAACCATTATTCGCTTTTGAAATCTATAATTTTAATGCCGATATCAGTGCTCTAGCTTTTCCAGATCAACTGTGGCCCAGATTGAAATATCCACATTGAATTCTAGATTTGTTAAAGTATTACTTTTATGATTTCGAAATTAGGCGGATGGAGGTAATCGATAGAAAACACTGAAGTTGGATTTTATGCTGGTTATTACTCATTAACAAGGCATAATTTTACTTTCCCAGAAAAATGATACTCCACGTGGCATTAGAACCGCTATCATCAAAGCCATTTAGGCTTCGATTGACCTTTTTTCAGACTGAAGTTACCATCTTGCTACCCGATTGAGAGAGAATGATCAACACTTGGGGCAGGATAAACATGAGATTGATCAGTCTGTAATCACCCTTTAGTGTAAATGCTGAAGCTTTGTTTGATACTGACAGAGTTTCCTGTAAGTGAAAACTCGTAATATATACATGATCAATGAGCGAGTGACTAGAACTAGCCAAGGTTATCATAGTCTCATAAATATTGTAATAAAAGCTTGAAAGAGAACATATTTTTACATAAAAGTAGGTTTGGTCTGTGTGTTTATAATAATATGATAAAAAATTTATCGATATGTGTGAATTCGGTTATAAAATTTTCATCATAGAATGTTGCATCAACTAAAAAACTACTTAAAACCATTAGGGATTAGGTAAGTTAGTTTTCATAGTTTAGAACTCATCGGAAGTGAAAGGTTATAACTTCTTGTGAAGCTTTATGGTTTGTGATAGTTCTTTGTTTGAGGTCGCTCATCGGTAGAAATTATCCTTAAATTAAATAGGTCTTCAAAAAATATAAGTAGTTCATACAACTAACTATCTAGTCCATTAGTAAATAGTTTTAACTCAATAAATACACATTTTTAAAAATAATAATGACCGGACGGTTAAAAATGGGAGATTATTAAAGTCGATAGATAGATAAATTACAATAGAATGATTTGTAATATAACAATTTTAGGTCAGTCGTTGTGATATTGGCATCTAACTCAACATCTCAACCAATAAGAGAACATTCA